CGGAGAATTGTTATTTCTTTCTCTTATTTTAAAGGCAGTTGACTGAATTTTTTGAATTTCAAATCCAGCATGACGCTGCGAGTGCACCCATCGTCGTGCTAATCGAGTTCCTTTTTACTTGTTTTTCACAGCTCAAAACATATTCTGTATGATTAGCCCAATGTGCACCAAACGCGTCACTCAAATTATTTCGCGAGCTTCATACCTCGGACGAATTAAAATGACTGAAAGCAAAAAGAGCAAAAAAAAGTCTATTCCGCACGCACTTTCACCAGTTCCATAACGATCATTAACGGCTCTTGTCTGTTTGCCACACCATAGAATCGGACAATATTCTCATGCCTTAAATTCCGGATGACGCGCACTTCATTCATAGCTTCTTGCACTTTTTCTTTCGTCATCGCATCACACTTCAGCTGCAGTAATAATATCGGGTTGAAATCAACGGTCAACAATGCAATTTCTTCAACCGCATGGCTTACACTGCTCAAACTGGTTAGGCTTGCGATAACTCCCTGGGAGAAGGGACTAAGAATGCAAATGTTCTGACCGTCAGCGCAAAGCAAAGCAGCTGGTGGGCTCCCGTCAAGAAAGCTTCCTGCATAAGGCGAGGATGAGGCAGTAGTGTTGTGTCCAATCTACAGGCAAGTAGGCCCGAAGACATATCACCAACAGACCACCTGGATCGTCGTCGCAGTTTTTTATCACCACAGAATACGTCGAAAACTCGGTGTGAGTCGCGGAAGACAGGCAGCGACAGCCACGGCCTGTCCGCCAGTGAACCAAAGTCTCTCTGTGTATTTTGTTTGCGCTCGTAATCTCGACTGGGGTCTCGGATCTGTGCCAGTACAATTTATAGCATCTACTAAATTTTAGAAAGAAGTTACAGTACAAACAAAAGGCAGCGAAGTGCTTACAACTTTGATTGCAGCACTGACGAAAAATCGTTTGGTCAGTGCAAGCCTTCCACTAAATACCTCACCAAATGCGCCTTCGCCAAGTTTTTGTTGAAGCTCCACCTTATCATGTTTCAATTCCCATGGCTGCAATAATATTGCTTTCAATCTCAGCTGTAACAAAATATTTTTCTGATGATCAGGACAGGCACAATCTCCAGAACCGCACTGGTCCTACTGCTTTGGTTTTGTGTTTGTGGTAAATGCTTCCCAGATCTCTTCCGAAATTCTTTCTCAGTGCATCTGCTCTGGCAGTAATTTCTGAATTAATCAAATATCAAGCCTTCTGAATGAAGTGAAGAACGAAAATTTTTTGATACAGTAGTTCTAAAAAATGCGGCAAAAGAGGTACTTGTAAAACAACTGGATTCTTTAGCACCACATGTTCTTGCATTATCTTGAATTTGTTCTGTGC